TGCAAGGAATGATGACACATTTGCAGTAATTTTCTAGCACTAAAAAACTTAGTTCTAGAGACTGATGGTGTTTCAGGAATTATATAAAGGACAAAAATGTTTTCTTAGTAATGCAGATAAGCAGTTCTATTTGGGAGGGAAACATTGTATGCTTGCAAATATTCAGCCCTATGATGGCATGAGTGTAAACATGACAGCTAAAAAACCCTGTGTATTTTGAATAGTGATTTCACTGTCTGGGTAAAAGGATGCTTCTGAGTATAGCTGCTGTTAACTCTGGGCCTGCTAGCCACCATGACATGCCTCAGATTCTCTGGAAAGTGGATTTGATAGATACAGGATCCTTGAGGAAGAAACAATTTTGTGCCTTTTCTGCTCTTGGAGATAAGTTTAGAGGTGGACACACATGTTCATGTACACGTGTAACTTTAGTTTTTATTGGCATGGAGTAGTGATTCACTGTCTGGCTCTGAAATTATATTTATTAAAATACTTTATTTTAATATTTATAGGAAAACATTCCATTACTTGTGGTAACTTGGGAACTACGCTTGAAATTGGAATAGTGTTGCTGTTTAAAGCTTGACCTTTGAGATGTGCTACTGCTTTTTAGAACTATTATGGCACCATCTGCTGATCAATGTACAGACTGGCAATGACAGTTTGCTCACCTGGTTCCCTCCTTGCACATAAGCTTCCAGTTTAGGAGGCAACTGGGGCAGAATCATAAAGGGAGGACGTGATTTTTAGTTGGCTTCTGTTTGGGAGAAATATTTTAAGCCTCCAAAGAGCCGCCATGACAGCATGAGAGTGGGTCAGGCCCCAGCTCTGGTGGCCTTGTCACAGTGTGGGGAAACCAATGGACTCTCTGACAGGCGTCTGCCCTGCGGCTACTGCCGAGACCCACCAAAAGCCGAGTCTGCAGTCTGCCTCTTCAGCCTCTGCAGTCACCCTGGGTTTTGGTGCATGGGGATCATCAGGGAAGGAGCAAAGCTAAACAGTCGTCCTTGTCACATTCAGTGTGTAAATACTTACATTTCAGTTCAGTTGCTCAAGATCATCATAATCATGCGAAAATACGGGATTAGATTCTTGTATATATAAAGCTTATTTTCCTGTGGGTTCTCTGTTGTAACTTTTTAAAACACGTTCAGTAGTTTAAGCTGACTTTGGTCTCGTCTGTTTTTTCAGGAATGTGCTTAAAAATGAACTTAATCCAAATTATTAGATTCAGTGGTCAAAGTATGTCTTTCTATCTGTAAATAGCAAGAAGGATGCAAGTTCCTGTGGGAGAACTGGGGCTTTTTTGAGTTGATGTTTGACTGCAGATCAGTGTTTTATTGGAAGCCATACAATGAAAGCGTTGCAGATTGATGTAGCTAAGCCAGTTTTAGAGATGTTTTTGCTTCTTAAGGATCTAAAAGCTGAAAACTGTATTCTTTAGTTCTTAACTTATTCCTTTGCGTTCAGAGAGCTCCATGTCTTTGCAATTGTAGTAATACACCTTTTAAAATAATGACTAAAAGGTAAAACGGGATTTAATTTTTGTTTTGTCCACTAATAGAACGTGTGTAGGTTATACTGGCACTTTCGGCAAAATGATGCAGCACAGAACCACGTGATGCTGTGAGCTTTCTTGTTTACGTACTGATGATAAAATATAAGTTTTAGATTTTAACAGAAACGCAAAAGAAAATGTGTTAGTTGGTTTGGACTATCAATTATTGTACTCCACAGATAATAATTGATTCATGCTTTTGAAAAAAATCTTCTGGGAGTAGTACCAAGTTCCTCAGGCATTACCTAGTGGTTAAACCAAACCCTTTTACACTCCATCAAATTTGAATGACTGTTTTTGCAGAATTTTACTTCTTTTTTGCTTTTATGTCAACAGATTTTGTGTTGAAACCAGCAAGCGTATTGTTCCGTATTGCTCTGTGAAATGCAGAGCAGTCCTCTGCTGTGCTTCAAATCAATAATAAATGAAACACTTTCTTTTTTAAACAAAACAAAAAAACCCTCCCAAATAAGCCGTTGAAGTACATATGGCCTTGTTTCAGCTTCTTTTGGATTTTTTTTCAGACACTGGGAATTTTCTTCGCTCTCTTTTTTTTTTCTATTATGTGTACACCATGGGAGCTTTAGTATTTGGAAGTACAAGTGTGCAATTAGTTTTTATGAAGCTAATGATTTTTTAAAGGAATTATTAATAATATGCTGATCCAGAAAACTGCACAACTTACGCAGACACCGATGTTGGCTTTTAGTGCACTGAGTTGTAATTTCTTTCAATAGAAGTTGGTTGAATTTTTTTATTACTATTTTTTTCTTCTACACCACGATGGTATCTCTGTGAATCCTAGCAGACTGGTGGAGATATAACTATCAAAGTGATTTTGATTCCTTAAGTTTGCTATGAATTTCAATGACAAACTGAAAAAAAAAAACCAACAACAGCAACAAAAAAACAATTTTAGGATTGCCTTTTCCTATTTTTATATAGTCAGAAAATGAAACTTATGGAAAAAACATTTGGATTTGTTCATCTGTGCTGATGAATAAAAAATACCAAATGGAAATTGTAAATTAAGTTTCAACAAACTTAATTCCTCTCCAGAAGCTGTGAGGTTGTTTCCAATGCTTTTTGCCATCCCACTCCCATCTTGGTCTTGCAGTTTGGGTAGGCATTCAATCTGCATGAGCCAAGTTTTCAGGAGGATTACAACAGATACAGATGTTATCACAGTAGTTTAATCTGCATGGGTTTAATGCCAATTGCAAAATCAGCCAAGAGGTTTTTTTTTTTTCCCTTGGCAATCCTTCCATTCGAGCATCTCCCTGAGTTTCCTTCTCTGTTGTCCACTCTTGCTGCAAGACTCTTACCTCTCCTTCTCCTTTCAAAATGAAATACGGATTTAATGTTACTTTGTAATATGAAAGAGGTGAGATAAGAACTTATCTTGCTGCAGCTGACTAAAAAAAAAAATAAAAGGGGCAAAAATATTTTGTGTGCTTATGCTACATAGTAAGAGCAAATGAGAGTTTACAGCCCTTCCTTGGAGACGGGAGGGGAAGAAAAGCAGCTACAGTTTAGAACTGTAGATTTTCAACTGAACTTGGTTTATTTCTTCCCAATCTCACTTCTGAGACAAATGCTGTTTGCTGCTTATTTCCATTTTCTTTCTGACATGTTGTGGGCTGTTAAGACGCGGGCTGGTTGGGATCCTGCAAGGTCTTCCCTTGGATCAGGAAAAAGCCATTTCCAGATAACCTGCTTACTTGATCTGCTTGTCTGTAGTGAAGGTACCATCAGAGACTTTACAACCTGCAGCAGTAGACTCTGAGTGCACAACTCCAATGTTTTGTCCCCCCACCTCTGTTTTTCCTTTGAACTACAAAACTGGAGGATCTGAAAGAGCATTGAAATAGTGAGGGCAGGGGAAAGGAGTGCAAGGAAGGGCAGGTAGACCTCATTTTTTGTTTCTCAAGAGATGCTTAATTATTGTGCCCAAATGAAACTCCAGAACAAAGAAATATATCGAGCTCATGTGCTAGAGAAGGTCAATGTTCTGGGAAGACTATCCCTTACACTCTTGGTCAGTGTGCATGTTCAGTAAACTCATCCATCTCTAACTTGTTCAGAGACAGCTGAGAGTAAGAAGAAATCTACAGTCTTAGCCAAGAAGTGTGCTTTGTTTTGCAGGGTTTTTTCTCGCTTTTCTTCTGTCCTGGAAGAGCAGTGAAGTGATAAGCTTATGGGTAACTGAGCTCATGAAGGAAATTGCCTCCTGCTGTGAGCATCAAATGAAGGCATTAAATGAACTTGAGCCTATTCAGACAGGGGCTGTAACAAGTTTCCCTTGCTTCTGCAGTATAAAGCCAAGTTCTTTTAAATGTAACTGGTTTGAAAAACCTGGGCACTTGAAGGTGCAGAATCTTTCTTGTTTCACACTGAGTGAGTTTGTACCACCCGCTGCTATCCTGTCTAAATTTAATCAGTTAAGATGTATAACTTGGTATCCTCACTTCCTTTTATTGTTAGAACAATACGATAGGAACAGGTTTGCAGGGTTATTTATTTTGCGCAGTTCTAAAATTTTCTGGAGATGCTTCCTATTTGACTTTAAGCAAAATGTGATCCTAATTTCAAGAATGGTATATATTTATTTTTTATTAGTGTGTACATATTTCATACATTTCTGCATATTTTGAAAAGTAAAAAAAATACACATGCAAGAAATAGTTCTTTTCTTTTCCTGTAGCTTCTTTGAAGATTTATCAAATTCTCTAGGATTTTTAGCTACTTTCTGAGAAGAAATTTGTTCTTTCTTAGAGATTCTTAGGATCATGCTAACCATCCTTTTTCTGTATTCTTTAGTTAGCTTTCTTCTTCATTTTTGTCCATCCCCACCACTGGTTCACTGTGGACTGAGATAAGGGAATTGTGAAAATACACCTGTAACTTTAAATGCAATGGATTTGACTATAAACGAAAACTGAAATACTAAGACTGACTTCCCATCTAAAATTAATGTCTGCTCCCATCTAAAATCAATGTCTGCTTCTGGTACTGTCAACTGTGAGGTTGCTGCTTTGCTGAAAATTATGATAAAGAGAATGGAAGAATTATGTAAGGTCTAAGTATAGCTGTTTCAACTGAGTCTTTTAAGGCAAGAATGGCTTTTCTCAATGTAAAAAGGAACAACTAGAAGCATGCACTCCTAACTTAAAAAGACTTTCTGTGCAAAACTTAGAATCATAGAATAGTTTGGGCTGGAAGGGACCTTCAAAGGTCATGTAGTTCAGTCCCCAACTTGTGTTATATTGAGAAGTGTCACTGAATATTTGAAAAGTATTTCTTTAACCCAAATAAGTTTAATTTAGAAACTTGTAGATTATTGCTACAAATTACTGTGATTAATATAAAAGTCAGTAAAATTAGTAATGTTGCTTAACAAGACTATATTTATCATTGCTTTTTTTCAGTGTAAGTTTTGACAATGACAACTGAAGTTGGCTCAGAGACTGAAGTAAAGAAAGATTCTGAGCACCTGGGACCAGATAAAGCCAAGGACAAGCCTGAAGAAGCATCAGAAACTCCAGAAAATCAAAAGTCCAGGAAAGCATCCTCTGAAGAAGCTCAAGATTCTTCCTCTGTCCCAGTACCAACTAGCCAAAGCAGTCCAAGTAGCCACAAGAAGGAAAAAGCTTCACCTGAAAGCAAGGGTATTTCTCGTTTCCTTCCACCCTGGCGTAAGAAACAAAAATCATACACCTTGGCAGAGCCCAAAGATGAGAGCAAGAAAAAGACCACAGGGGAAGAACAAGTTGCCAAAGAATGCCCAACGGCAGAGGGGGTGGCTCAGCCAAAAAAGAGCGTGGAAGAAGCAGCAGCTGAAAATCAGCGCAATGCTAAAGCAGATGACAAAGTAGAAAAACACTCTGTTAGTAGTGCTGAAACACAGGTACGTGTGGGAAGGCTAATGGATGCTTTGGAGTAGTTTTAGTGAGACCTGGTTCATGATTTGTGCATTTCATGTAAAGCTTTGTTAGGAGCGTATTGGGGAAAAAGCAACAGCTACTACTTGTCCTTTTGTGCAGTTAGCTTGATATAGTTATGAATTGCATAGCTAGTTTTAAAAGGTTCCTGTTCTGCAGCAAACCATTTTTTATTCCAGTTGTTCTAGATGTCTAATTTTAGTGTAACCTCACACTTCGGCGTAGTTCAAAGGAACATTGAACTTTATCATTATGGTAGAAATGAGCAAGAATAAGGGGAGAAGCTTCTTAAGTCAGCTTTGTCTCTGAAGCCACTGGATCACAAAAATCCCTCCTTAGTGAATTAACCACAACAAATAAAAAAAGGATTATATCCGAGTCCTTACGATCTCAGTTTTTGTTATGCTTCACCTAGAACCTATGCTTGTGGTCACTGTCCTTATTGACTCATTCTGGGAGGTTCCAAGGCAGTCGCCACCTTCTGCAGTGCTCCAGTCTTGCTTTTTGAAAAGTTGCATCTCAGTTTTTAACACTCAAACCTCACTTTCTTGGGTGGCCAAGGGGATTAAGGACATAGAGAATCTTTCATCTGAGGAGGGCCTGAGAGAGCTGAGACTGTTCAGCCTGGACAAGAGAAGGGTCAAGGGGAATCCTATCAATGTGTATAAATACTCGAAGGCAGGGAGTGAAAAGAAGGAGCCAAACTCTTTCCAGTGTCATGCAGTTAAACAACAAAAGGCAATGGGCACAAATTAAAAATAGGAAGTTCCTTCTCAAATCACAAAAAAATTCTTTACTGTCATGGCGGATCAAACACTGGAATAGATTGCTCAGAGGTTGTAGAGTCTCCATCTGTGAAGATACTCATAAACCCAACTGAATACCGTCCTGGACAAACTGCCGTAGAGGAGTCTAGGGGTATTGGACAAGATGTTCTCAAGAAGTCCCTTCTAACCCCAACCATTCTGTGATTCCGTATAACTTGACTTTCATTAACACTGTTTTTTAGTTTTGTATAATTCCTGGAGGTTCTTGTTTGATTTGTTTCTGTTAGGAAAAAAGCCAGTAAAACATTATCTCATTTCAAGGAAAGGAAAAATGGCACCTGCTATGGTCTGAGAGCAAGAATATTTGGTCCCCAAAGGAAGACCTTAATGCTTACACTGGTTATTGTGCTTCCACTATGCTCATAACTTTAATGAAAGCTTAATGTCTTATTTATTAGTAGCTTATGAAAGAAATGAAAGTCAAAAATATCCACCTTCCTGAGTTTCAGTTCTTGTTTTGCTGTATTTTATATAGCCTGCCAAAGAAGGTGGTAAAGAAACGGAAGTAGAGAAAGTTGCAGAGGAAAAGGAAGAAAAACAAGAAGAACAAGAAAAAAGAGAGACAAAAGAAGTGCAGACAGCCGAAGTTAAAACTGAAGACATCCCTCAGAAGTCTCCCAAGAAAATCAAAACTGTGCAGTGTAAAGTGATGCTTCTGGACGGCACGGAATACAGCTGTGACCTAGAGGTAAGGCATGAACTCTCTATATGAAGAACTCTTTTTCTATAGAGAAAAAGAAAATTTGTTTTCATTGACTGTGAATTTAACAAATACATTTTTATATATCTAGTGAGCTTGTTACCATGGTAGATTCACATTGCTATCATTAGGGGCCAATTAACACTTCATTTTAAAACTCCATCTTTAAGAACTTATCAGTTTATCTTTAATGGACTCTGAGGTACATGAAAAATAAGATAAAATGCAGTATACCAGTCCTTTCAAAGGTGATCATGATCAAACTTTTTTTTTTTTTTTGCAAAAGACTACGATTTTCCTGAAGTTATTGCGACTTGTAGTAATAAAGGTATCTTCAACTCATTTGTCTTTTTTTTTTCCTTTGCTTTTAATGTTATCTCAGCTGGAGAACTAATATTTAAAAAATTTTGCATCAAAGGAAAATTCTGTTAGTCATAAAATACATATTTGTATATAAATTTATATTCCAGTTCCAATTTTTCATGGCTATGTGGATTGCTTGTTCGTAAGTGTAATTCTCTGGGTTAGATACTGTGTATGTTTCTGTTAAATCTGATGTAAAATCACAAACATAATCCATGTTAAGTATTAGAGCTCAAATGCGTTGATAGTTACATGAAGAATTAATATTTGTTATAGAAGGTGACAGGTTTCCTCACTAAAGTCAACTCCTCTGTTACATTTCTTTCTTGTGCTTTGCAATAGAGAATCCATTTGTTTGGAATGGGGGCAAAACAGTTGTTCTGGACTACGCTTGTGAACGTGGGTGTTAAATTTTGCATGATGTTACAGCTAACTGATAGCTGTGGTGCCTAGACTGAATATCTGAGTTATGAAAAGTGGTTAAAATTAGCTCCTTTTCTAAAACCAGACATCTAGATATATCTTCCAGATTGATCCACAGAAGAAACAGCCATGATTTTATGGCAATTCCTAGACCCAACTGATTCCTTCAGAATATCTCCATTTTTTTCTAATGTAAACTGTTCAATTTTGACGTTGCATGTGCATTACACGTCATGCGGCCATGCAGGCTTCTGCTGGAAGCCTGTTGTCTTCTCTTGTGCTGTCTCATTTTCCAGTCTCCGTCAGTCTCTGCACTGATTCTGGATTTCACGAGGCTCCCTAGTACTTTAATTGCTTGTTCTGTACAAGTCCTTTTGTGTACTGTAACATAATTCTGGATGGATACTGTTTACCTGCCCTTCAAGATCTTGTGAAACTTAAGACTTAAAAGAGACTGAAAAAAACCCAACAAAACGCTACCTGTTTTTGAGAGTTTCAGAAGCTTCCTCACAACTTGTCTTATTTCATGCATTAGTACAGCTTTCTTCAAACCTATTCAATAAATAAGGATGTTTAAATCTGAGTGGTATCTCTGTATTAGTTGATGGTGGCATGAATTTGATCTTCCTGAGCTTCTTTCCCCCTCAAAAAATGAGATATAAATTAAGTTGTGGATCTCTTACCACAATACCATAGTGTGAAATAGAAACAATCTGTAGAATTTAAGAATTCATGTTCTTAAATACATGTGGAACTTTTTATGCTCTTCTATGCTCTACAAAACATTAAAAGTTCTTAAAAACTTGTTTCAGCTGATAATTATAATTTCAGTTTGTGCTCTCTGCAGTGGATCATAGTAGATCAGTTTCTGATGCTGATCTTTTCTTTAGTCTTTCTTTAATATTTAGTGTTTGGGTAAGTGTTGGTTTATTTCTGCTTTACCGAGCAACAGTGTGAAATGACACAAGATTTTAAAAGCAAATAAACAAACTCTGCAGTCTAAACATAAAGTACAAAGCCCAGTTTACCTTGGTTGACTTTCTAGTAAATCAGGCTTTCATTTGGAGTAATTTTCATGGTTGAGACATTCCTAATGCTCCTTCCTGTTTTTACTAGGCACTGTAGACAATCTTCATCATATTTTATTTACTTAAAAGACACTTCTGTAGATACATATACTTGATAATAAGGAAGTAAAACTGAAAAATTGCTTATGTTCATTACTGTCGTTTTACAAACAGCTTTTGGCAGAAGCCTCTCTCTTTCCAATTACCATTTTAAACCTTCATGACAGCTCAGATTTTGTTATTGATTTAATACAGCATTTCTTGGGGTGCCTTTTTGTTTGAATTACAGTCATGTCCCTTTTTTCTCGTAGAAAAAAATCAATTTGTATTCATGTACCTTAAAAGGAGTGTGATAGAAAAGAAAATATGAGCCAGCATCTTATTCTTTGCTAAATTTTGTCATCATTCATTTTTATTGCATGTCTTTATATAAGACAATAGCTGGGAAGGGGCATAAAAGGCATTAAAGCTGTGCTGCAGTAGCTTTAGTATCAGCATGCAGATCAATGCTGTAGTTAATGAAAGGCGATAGGGTTCTCAGCAGTGACTGTACACTGAAACTTTTTGTGGCTGGTTGGTAGCTACAGTACCATGCAACTGGTTTGGCATCTGTGTAATCGTCATGTAAAAGGACTTGGTATTTGAGTTCAGGTATTGTATACTTCACCTATGAAGATTCCAGTGAATCTAATCTTGAAGTGGATAGTAATGCCTTATTTCTTTTTTAATTTTTATTTTTTAAAAAATGCACTATTCTTGATCTGCAAGCTGTTTTAGTCAGAAAAACTTTAGTATTTCAGCTTGATCACCTTATCAGTAAATAGTTAATGGTAAAAGCGTGAAGGTGTAATATGGAAATGAATGGGAAAAGGGAGGGGCAAATTATGGAATACTTAAACTAGAGATAAATGTCCCGTGGGACTTGATAGGATGCGCTATGCACTGACACTGTTTCCCATAACCTTATTCTCGACAAACAGACAATGTATGGGCCAGCTAAGTGGGCAGTGAGGTGGACTGGAAACTGGTTGAACTGCTGGGTTCAAGAGGCTCTGATCAGCAGAACAAAGTCCAGCTGGAGGCTGGCCACTAATGCCTTGCTAAAGGCATTGATACAAAGGCAATTAATGACCTGGATGATGGCACAAAGTGTGTCCTCAGGAAATTTGTAGAAGGTGATAAAACTAGGAGGAGTGGCTGATGTATCAGAGGGCTATGCTGCCCTTCAGATGGACCTGAACAGCCTGGAGAAATGGGCAGACAGGAGTCTCAAAGCTCTGCAAAGAGAAATACAGAGAAATAGCTGGTGAAGAACAGCCCCATGCACTGGTACAGGCTGGACTGATTGGCTGGAAGGGAGCTCTGCAGGGAAGGAACTGAGGGTTGGGAGAGGTGTCCCAGTGAACAAGCTGACCATGGGCCAGCAAAGCAGCCCACAGCTTCCTGGGCTGCATTAGGAATAATGTTGGCAGCAGGTCTTTCCCCTCTGCTCAGCACTGGTGAGACACACTTGGAGTTTTGGGTCCGGTTCTTGGCTCTCCAGTACAAGAAAGACACAAACATACTGGAGTGCATCCAGCAAAGGGCCGCAACACTAATTTAAGGGCTTGGAGCATCTGCCATATGAGGAGGGGCTGACAGAGGTGGAACTGCTCAACCTGGAGAGACTTGGGGAGATTTTGGCACTGTGTAAAAGTACCTGACTGGGGAATGAGTTAAAAAAAACAACCAACCAACCAACCAACCAAAACCCTACCCCACCCCCACCCCCCCAAAAAAAAAGAAAACCCAACCAAACAAAAAACCACAAGCAGACAAAAAGCCAAACAAGCAAACAAACAGAAACCAACAAAACAAAACTCCAAAAACCCAAAAAAAGGCAGTTCCATAAAATCTCAGCCTTTTATCGTTGCTGCCCAAGTACCTGGTTTTCTCTAGGTTTTTTTGAAATAAAACAATGAGTCCCTAAATAATGAAGAACTTCCTTAGGCTTTTTCCACACTTGTACAATTTGAAGACTGTGCTTTGATACTTTACTGTCAGGGAGTGCAGATGAGTTCAGGTATAACATCCCTAGCAGTCCCCACTGAAAAGCTTCTAAAATAGCAGCTCTCTTTTGTAACTGCTTATCGAATTCTGTGATCTAGGCCAGTTGTTTAGTCTGACACCTATCTTTTTATTATCCCTCTATTTTCCCTCATTTTACAAATTAATATCAGTATAGATTCAGGTGCTAGCACTCTGACAATGTCTCAGTTATGTCAGTTTTTTACTTTATTTTCTCTTCTTTTTTTTTGTCCAGTTTGTTGGTTTTTTTTTCTTGAAAGAACAGTATATCCAGTGACAAGAGTCTGTGTGCTTGGGAAGAAACGCAATTTCAGTTCACCGGAAACTGCTCCCTAAGCTGCTATCCACATGGTAGATAGATTTCTATTCTGCTTACATTCCCTTTTGCTTCGTGAGCTTATTTAGTTCTAGACATATTTGTGGCTACCTGGTTTCAAATAACATCTTAAAGAAAGAGCTGTTTTGGGCATTTTTGTTTGTTTTCCCCTCCAACTTTTGAAGCTTGTTTTGTTCTTTATTTTGCAAGTGGCATGTTTGGTACTAATTAAATCAGAATAATTTCTCAAAGTTGCATGGAGAAAGATTTTTTTTTTTTTTTTTTTTTCCCAGACTTAAAAAAAATGGGAATTTCAATTCGATAACACGCTACTGAGCTTTCGTAGAAAACATAAAATAATTGTATCTGAAAAGAGGTCATATTTTTTGTGAAAGGTTGTTTAACAAAGTAAGTTCATGTAGAATTAGGTTTTGAAGGTTTATTACCTCAGATTCAAACTAAACAGCAAAAGCTCTATAGAAGTTGTTCTGGTCCAGACTCTGGGCTTCACTAAGTGTTTTTAGAAATGCAGTATTTATCAGGTGACAAATGAATATTCTAACTTGCTGAGAACTGAGTTCAGCTCTACTTGTAAACACTTGAATTCTGTAATACAAAGCTGAGATATCCTGTAATTGTGATACGACTAAAGCCAATTTGTGTATATTGAGATCTGTTTTCTGTTCTGGTTACCACAGACTGGTTTTTGTAATAATAATCCCAGTATTGCTCAGGGATATTCTTGTCTTGGC